TAGTCATTAGGAATATTGTGGCCAAGACAACTTAAGGCTGAAGATAAAACGTATTTCTACAACACCATCTCTTCCATTAGGCGAAAAGCATTCTCTTGAACATGAAGTTTAGAAAATTTCTGGAAACTGGGAAGTTTTTCTCCTAACCTAATATTCATTAGTGAAACTTTTGTCCTTGTTTCTCTGCATAAATAGCTCACATTCAGGAGAATTTATCAACATGACCAATCTACAACAAACTAAGAAACTCCTATCTTGATAGGCTACAACTTCTATCCTACAGCAAATAAAAAGAAAGTTACTACCAAGAACCTATTTAAAGTTTCAACAGTGAGATTTTGCCTTTTAATTCTAAGCCAGTAACTCCTGCAAATCAAGCAGAGTAAGGTAATCATTAATGATGCAGTGCTAATTAACTTAACCTTTTCCAAATAGGTTATATAATATAAGTCAGGTGGTGGCTAAGGTAATGTGATTTCCAGAGAGGAATTCGAAGAGGCCTAATGGAGAGTAATGTGATGGATCATTGGTGTTTCCAGTATGATAAAGAAAGGCATAGGCAGGGTCCAAAGGTCTCAACCCTCGAACACTGGGTCTAGGAAAGTGAAATGAAAGTCCCATTCCCTCAGGCACAGACACTGGGAAATCCCCTGTTAACTATGTAGCGTGTTTTTACAAATGGATTGTGTGTTTCCCTAATACAGTGCTACCCAATAGGCATATAAAGCAAGAATCAATAACATGTTCAGGTTTTTGTTACTAATATGCAAGAGCCACAAAGAAAGAAATGCAACAAAAGTTTACCAAATTGAAAGCATTATTTTATCGTGTAATCACTATTACTTTTAAATGTGTATTTCAAATGTAGTTAATACATTTAAAATCAATGATGATGTTTTGCTACTAGTATGTAACTCATATTACAGAACCACTCGTTGCAAACATTGGATGCATTAAGTAGTCACAAATAGTCACAAGGGGCTAGTATCTACAATATTGGACAGTATAAATGTGTAAATTCAGACTTTATTGTCTAGAATGCTGTGTGTGTGGCTGTATTCATGTGTGTAATGCTACAAATAGTAACTACAAAGTAATGAAAGCGCTGGGGTGGTTTTTAAATAATCATGTAGTATTTTTAAGATTAAATATTTTTATTTGAAAGAGAAGCAGCCACAGTCATCCTTCCTCAGCTGTTTCACTCTCAAAATGGCCACAAAAGCCCAAGGCTGGCCAGGCTGAGGTCAGGAACCTACAACTCAGTCCAATTGAATTCTTTTTTTTTTTTTTTTTTTAAAGATTTATTTTTATTATTTTTTCATTGGAAAGGCGGATATACAGAGAGAGGAGAGAGAGAGAGAGGAAGATCTTCCGTCCGATGATTCACTCCCCAAGTGAGCGCAACGGGCCGATACTATGCCGATCCGAAGCCAGGAGCCTCTTCCTGGTCTCCCGCACGGGTGCAGGTTCCCAAAGCTTTGGGCCGTCCTCCACTGCTTTCCCAGGCCACAAGCAGGGAGCTGGAAGGGAAGCGGGGCTGCCGGGATTAGAACCGGCGCCCATATGGGATCCCGGGGTTGCAAGGCGAGGACTTAACCACTTGCGCCACCGCGCCGGGCCCCCCAATTGAATTCTTAAAGGACTGACAGATGGACTTTGCCTCACTATGTTAACAGAGAGATTATTTGTGATGCCTTGATTCTAGAATCATCTGTGATCAAATCTCCCTTTAAAAAGTCTCAGCAGGGATTCAGTGCCTGGGTAGAAAAGTGAGAGTGGACAGGTGGAAAACAACACAACCTCTTCAGACACTCGTTCTTATGAGCAAGTCTGGGCCCAGCCCCTCCTGATAGGGCAGTTCTTTGGCTCGTACAGGAAACTACCAACCAAGTGAAAGAAGCGAAGCCTCTCAGGCTTGCCAGGAGGTACAAGTGACAGACTGTAAGTGCAAGGAAAGCACCTTGTGCTTTCCAGGCAACTTTGGTCACACCAACTCTGTAGGCAATTCACGCTGCTACGAGAGGTATCTCATTCCCCACACCCTAAACCCTGAGCACTCTAGATAAATGGGTACTAGCTGCTCACTTCTGATTAATGGCTACAGTGGGTTTAGACTGGCATCTGACTACATTATTCCCAGGGGTAAGAAGGGTGGAGACGACCATGAACCTCCTATTTTGAAGAAAGGAGTCTATCTGTCCCAACTGTTGATCTGACCTCTACAGAAAGCTCAAGACAAGTTTTTGTAGGTATCTTGAATCATATATGAGGTGGGAACTATTTTAAAAAGCATGTCCCTTTACATTCTTGAAAGCAATTACAGTTATAATTAAAAGAAGACACAGAACTGACATTGCAATTGTAGCTCAATATTTGGGTATTACAAAGTTTTTTGTTGGGTCAACAAAAAATACCTTTCATTGTATTTCATTTCTGCTATGATCTTTTAAATTACACAATCAACTTTTGGTTTACTCTATTACCTGTCTTTATTTATTAGCTGCTATCTGCTTATACAGATAATATCCAGATATAGACTTAAATAGTAAACAGCTAAGAACAAATAGTGTTATCTTTTTTGAACATCTATCAAGGGTCAATTACTGAACTATTTCCTGAACAGTTTAGTCACCCACATTTGAGAGTCATCATATTTAGAAGACTCTGTGTGTGTCTCCACGCACACATACTCCTGAAACTTCTTAAGATATGACCCTCAATATCACAAAACGGAAAATCCTGAAACATCCATGGTTGCCAAACTTACTGTTTTCAGGAATTATGTTACAGATTTTAACCCCCGTCTCTTGTTTTATGTCTCTGAACTACTTATTCTGAATTGTTTTATACATAATTTCTTCTGTCTGTAAGGAAGGCATGATGGATATTTAGAATGTTATATGACAAATAACTTCTGTCTACTCCTTTGCAAATAATACAGAGCTATCACTCAAGTTGGTGACTTTTTCACCAGTGGACTGACTAGGAATCTCATGTTCCTTCTTGAATTTCACCTCAGCCTCTTTATTTATCAGAAGTGTAAACATTAGAAATTGTCATTCTTAATTTTCTTACTAAATTGATGCGTAACTTTCATTGAACTTATTTTCATTTACCTAGTAACTATTCATTTAGTTCGTGCTTGTTACAATATTCATTTAGTTCATGCCTGTATATACTTTTCCAGTGATGTTTCAACAGTCAAACCCTAGATGTATCAAACATTGAAAGAATGTAGGTTTTCCTTCCATTGAAAGATATTGTTATCTTGAATTTTTACTATAATGATATCTTTCCAGTTCTACATGGACATCCAGAAATAGATCCAGAGTCCAGATGCGAAGGAGGTACTAAATATCAATAGTGGTAATATTGAATCGGACAGAACAACAGATATGAAACTGTTCCCCCTTAGGACTTTGCCACGATTTTCTAGCAGATCAAAGTTGACCTCAGAATGCCTTGTGGATTCTTAATCTACATTTTGAGATGGAGGATATTAAACAAAAGCTGGGACTTGCTCCATATACTGTAGACAAATCCTGGGCTTTGGTGGGCACTGTCTGAATAAAAACTAGAAATTCTATGATTGGGATTTAGCCTAGTGGCTAAGATGCCACATCCTCTGTCAGAGCTCCTGGGTTTATGGCTACCTCCTCACAGTGATGACCCAGTGGTTAGGTCGAGCCACCATGTGGGAGTCGTGGGGTGATGTTCCCTCCTTATTTCCCTCTGCATCTGCCTCTCAAATAGACAAGAAAATAAACAGCCCATTAAATGTACTCTATATGAAATCACTTAAATAAAGGAAACCAGCTTCATTGTTTGAGAAGCAATTTAAGGCAAACGGCACTGGAAAGAAAATGGAGTTTATTATGAAATGATTAGCTAACTTCAAGTCTTTTGTAGCAAAGAAAGATGAGAAATATGTACCAAGTGTAGCTTTTACATTTATAATTTACAGATGATACATCTGTAGAACAAATATTCGATCCTCCACTTAATTTTATCTGACTTGAACACATGCACACACAAAAACTTAAGACTGGCCTCAAGCAGACCACACTGACCAGTAGGAGTGAGGTCTCAGCTACCAGCCAATGTTTAAGTAACTGAAGAGAACAGATGTGTACTGACACTCCTCAAATATAAAGTAGATATAACATAAAATCATGACCCCGGGGGGTGCTTAAGACCAAAAAAAAAAAAAAAAAAGGAATGTATATAGCAGTGTGTAATAGTGTTCGGAGTAAGATAGGTCAAAATTAGTATTGGTTCCCCTTTTTCTTCCAGAGTTTGTAGAGCAGCAAATTTACTTTTGCCTTTGAACATGAAACTTCTCCCCTCCCCCAACAGTACATGTGTTGGGTGTTATCACAAAACTAACAAGAGACAACAAGAAACGGCTGTAAAAAGTATCCATTTAACAGAATTTTTGGAGAGGAAAACTGGTATCTATTAAGCCTAGCGTTAATTATATTAAGAATGAAGATGTCCGTGTTTTCCACATACTGTCATTTCACAATATCTATTCTAAGCAAAACTATACTATTCTCTCTTTTTTCTCTTAATGTCCTCAGTCCAACTGGCAGGATAAAAGATCAGTTCCAACTGCTACTCCTGATCTGCCCGTTAGCCTGAATTCTAATAAAGTTGATGTATCAAAGATAGAAAAAGTTCTTAAGTCTCAACTCTGTTGAATTCTGATCTTAACATGCTGAGACTTTGAAACGTGTTTTTGCGCAGGGGGACAGGGCGAGGTTTGAAGAGAAGGCGTCCCAAGAAACGCTTCTCTGCATATATATTTTTTTCACTGTCACAAGCAAAACATATTGGAAGAAAGGAGGCCAGTGATTTTAAAAACAAAAAGGGAAGATGGTGCACCTTCACTAAGAAGGGACAAGCAGCATGACTTTTCCCAGGACTTGCTCTGGAAGTGCTGTTCTCAAGATTGGAGGGTGCAGGATTGTCAGTGACCCCTGTTCCCGGATCCAACTCACCCAGCTGGAGTTGTTCGCACGTCTGGTCTGGATTGTTTCCGATCCTGCATTTGTAAATGGCACCAGGATTGACCACTGAAGCGTTGGTGAGCCAGTTGGCAGTGGGCGCCCCCACGACGAGCCTAAAGCGAGAAACGTGCCCTCAGGCATGAGCCCTACCGCCCACCTAGCTCCTGCTCTCAGCAGATGAGCAGTGGTCGTGGGGTAGCTTCCTTCATCTCCTCCACCCACCCCCACGTGCTCTGTCAGTCACCCCTACTGGCTGAGCTCCGGGCCATGGGCATCAGTGTCCCCCGGGATGGACACGCTTCCCTGGAGGTTCTCCAGCAAGCTGGTGGTAGCTGCATTTCCCCACTGCCTCCTCCGGAGGGAGGAAAGTTTTCATCCCATCAGGAACCCCTGGACTCCTTTCTCATGCGGCCCTTAGATGCCCTGAGCCACGCCACTCACCATCGGTTCGCCCCGTGGCTGTGCAGCGCCACCGAGTAGCCAAACAGCGTGTCCGGGGGGCCCTGGTACAGCAGCGCGCTCTCGGTGTCCACGTTGTAGGGGCGCCCGGTGGGGAGCCCCAGGCACAGCAACAGCATCACCGCAGCCCGGACACCGGCCCCTCGGGAACCGGGTCCACGCCTCGCTTCCCCAGCCATGCGCTGTCGGTGGGGAACATTCAACACCCAACGGCTGCTGCCCCCAGAGTTGCCCGGGACGCGACGGGTGGCCAGGGGTTAGAGCGCCCCAAGAGATGAGGCACGGCGTGTCCGGCGCCGGCGGGAGGGAGGGAAACGAGGAGGGAGGGAAGAAGGGAGGGAGGTAGGGCCGGCCCCGGGGAGGGAGGGGAAGTCGCAGGCCACGGGCGGGGCGATCGCCTGCAGCCCCGGGATGCCGCCCTGTCACGCGGGGGGCCCCCCACCCCGATTCTGCGGCTGGGAGGTGGCGGCGCGCTGGGGCCCGCGGCGCGGGCGGCTAGGTGGGGTCCTGGGCGTGGTGCAGAGGCGCGGGGCTCCTGCTCCCCCAGGAGCGGCTGTAGGGGGCGCTGAGGGACCTCGGCAGCGCACGCCCCGCGTCCCCACCGGGGCTGCCCAGCCCACCGAGCACCGAGCCGGTCCACGGGGCCCAGGGGTGTCCCCTTGGTACCGTGGTCCTGGCCCCTGCCTGCGCACGCCCCGCGGCCGGTCGTAACCTCGGGAACCCTACGCTGCGGCGGGAAACCGTGCAGTCCTGCGACCGCTTTGGTTAAACGCAGTATCTGAATTTGGAGGTGTAAGCAACCACCAGAGAAATTGACCCGAGGACCACAAAACACACACACTCACAGCCCTCCCTCCCCGCCACACACCCTCCCTGAAGGCGCCTGAGGAATGTTCTGGTTACCTATTCCCTTCACAACGAGCAGCCCTTGCTTGCCCACTTCCTCCCTCGGCACGCTTCCTCTTCACCCCTGCACTGGGGGGCAGCCATGAAGGCTGCTGCGGAGCCTTGAGGACACCCGGTCCCACACGTGCGCTCCGTGGCGGGCCTCAGCTGCCCTCGCACGTGTAGGCTTCAAGCTCCTCAGGGTCCCGCGAAAACGTGCTGGAGACCCACAACACAGGACTTGGACTCCCGGTGATACTCATTCTAAAACAATTCTGTCAGATGGGCCTCGAGTTTGTGTTTAATGTCCGTTTAGTTAGCTTTTTTTTTTTTTTTTTTTTTTGAGAGGAAATGCATCAGACACGGAAAGATCTGTGGACTCTGGGAGAGGGACTCCAGCCACGATCCACACTGGGACACGCCTGTGGGAGGTGCCATCTTGACCCCTGTGCCAAACTTCCATCCTGGCGTAGCTGGAGACAGCCGCACAGTTATTGAGCTATTTGTAGGGGATGTTGGTATCGCTACTTATTCTTGCTATATCTAAATATAATGCAAAAGAAGACTTTATGACATGATTTGTGTGGCAACAGCTCTGTGAAAATGGCACATGTTGAGACACACAATTAAAATATTTGCTCACTCATTCAGTATTCACTGGGACCTTCCTAGGCCCCAAAAATGCCAACACGGGACGGATTAAGTACACAGGAAAATTTTCAATCAAATGTCAGGTGACACCCTCGCTAATTAGACAGTTCCAGGGCCACTTGCAGAACAGGGCACGTTCCGGTGGGTTGGGCAGTTTGAGAGGAAAATCAGGGAGGTCTCTGTCAGAGCCAGGTAGAGGAACTGAAAGAAATTGCCTGGCTAGAGCATGTAACCACCGCCCCACATTGGTGCCTGAGGCTGATTGGCCAGGCAGATACACATGGTGAAGCCAAGTTAGCAATTTTACACTCCATTGGTTCTGATAGGAAGCTCCTGGAGACTTTTTCGTGGTCAACCCTGAGTTTCACAAGTGTGAAGGCAAGAGGGAGCACAGACAAATCCAATGGAGGGGTTTCCTCATTGACTGAGCAGGGAGAGTTGAGAGAAAAGTAGGTTCAGGAGTTATCTGAGAGAACCTGACAGGAGTGTTGATAACTATGAATGTGGGGCTGAAATAAAGAGGTTAACATGCAGATTTTGCATTTGACAGCTGGGTCTACATTGCTACCATTTGTTGGGAAAGGAAACTGAAAAAAAAAATGAGGATGTACGTGTGTGTGTGTGTGTGTGTGTGCATCTGCATGCACGTGTGTGTGTACACGTGCATGCAGATGGGGTACTAATGTGTCAGAGTTTAGGCATGTGGAGTTTGAGGTGTGTGTTCAGTTAGGATATTGCAGTAAAACCTAGTCCAATTTTTCCTCTCTTGTCAACAGACAAAATGAGCATTATTAACATTTTATTCATGGAAACAAAATTTAAGGCCAATTTGTGTGTGAGAAACAGGTGGTAAGAAAATGAAAGGGTTTCTAGAAAGGTAGGCATAAGTTCCCAAGGTGCATGGCCCTACTCTGTTGCCTTCTGCAGCTGTGCAAAGCATGTTTCCTTCCCAGAAGATCTATGTGTTGACTGCAACCCCAACGGTACAATGAGCTCTCACTGTTTTCATTCCCAAATATGGAGTTCCTCCAGTTTGCAGGAAGAAAAGCTCAGTTGAGACGTGGGAAGCAGGAATACTGAGGCCTGGGCCACACCCTTCAGTTATCAGCAAAGCCAAGTCACTGATCTGAACCCTTACCTTGCTTGTTCATATCTTTCATCAAAATTTTTCAATAGGAAACTTGCTCAGCACAGTTCTCTTCATAGCATAATTAAGATGAGTAAATGGCCAGCAAAGTCGTTCATGGAGGCAGATGCTAGTTTTCTGGATCATTACCATTCTTTCAAAGTAGCCATCCTAGATTATGAAAAAAAAAAAAATAAACCCTCTTTAAAACAAAGATGTAATTCATTGTGTATGTCTTTATGTACTATCTAAATACACATGTCCCCAGTTGATATTGCTAACCTGGAGCTTTCCACTGAGCTCCAGGTGTGTTTCCTCTATTGCCCAATGGTAGAACCTGTCTCCAGTCCATTCTTCTCTTTTATCTTTGCATTTTTGCCTTCCCATCCCAAGATGCCATGAGCTTATCTGGACTGTTTAATGATCTTTGCTTGGTCTCCCTTTGCCTCCTCTTTCTCATTACATAGAAGCTAACATTCTAAAATTCTAGAACAAACATGCACTGACTTCATTGCTTAACTCCTCCATTTTCGCTTTCCTATAATATCATAAACCCTTGGTGTGACCTAAATTGGACCTCTGATCAGTAGCATTGCCACTGGACACTCACCCTGGGTCATTTGCTTTTGTCAAATCAGCTTCTTTAACTTCCTTGTGAACACCACGGCCCTTCCATCCTCCAAGTCTTGATCATATTAAATATTTGTTTACCTGAAAGACAGAGGGACACAAAGGGATAGTCCCAGCTAACTCCTCAGATACTCCAGTAGCCACACATGGATAATCCACATCTCCCAAGTGTGTGGTATGATTCCAATGATTTGAGTCAGTATCCCTGCCTCCCAGGGTCTGTGTTAGCAGGAAACTCCAGAGCTGAGAATCTACGACACAGGCATCGTTTAACTCGAGTCCTAACCGTGATGTTAGACATCACTTGTTTCTGCTCAGACGTAGAGCCCCTGATTATCACATGAATCTTCTTTCTTTTCTTTCCTTCTCAGTTTAAATGTCTCCTCTTCCTTCTGCCCATCAACTGAAAATAAACCCACACCTTATTCTTTCAGTCCTGTTCATTCTCTTTAGAATGCTCAATTTAGAATCATAAGTTTTTAATTTTTTAAATTATGCTTTCCTCACTAGAATATGACAGCAGAAAATGTTTTCTGATTTTACTTATTTACTGCCTAGAAATATCAGGGGCTCAGGAAATGTTTTTTGAATGGTCCTCACATGAGTTGGACTTGCTACATCATTAATCTCAGAAACTGAGAGAAATGTGGGTGTTTACATGATTGGAGAGATTCATTACTGTGAGCAAAAAATAATGTGCTATATCCTTAGGCAGATGTAATGATAAATAAAAGTAGGTCCTGATTTCAAACAGTTTGTAATTTACTAAGGACAGTAAGCCACAGAGAACAAAGTAACACAGTCAAATATGAGTGTGATATGCAATGAAGAGAGAAGAGATTGCTGGTTGGCAGCAAAAGGTAGGAGCATGAAGAATAATCTTTAGGCCTAGGTTTGGTGAAATATAGGAAAGGAAGAAGAACAGAACAGATAACACTTTGGAATACATTTATATGATTCTCAGATGTAGGTAATATGGAGAAGCAAAACATGATGGGAATTTCTAGGCCAGGTAGCTATGGGGAAAAAAAAAATAAACCAAAAACCAGAAGGATGAATTAGAATAGGCCAACTGGGAGGGGTAGCAATGTTTTTATAATGCTAGCTGGGTTCTAGAAAGAAATTAGAAGTCTTGTTAGGGCATATTACCCAGATATGTCTAAAAAAAGGTTCATTTAAAAAAAAGGATTATTAAATATTCTAAATTATTCAAGTACGTTATAAGACATGCACAAAATGACAAACACAGAAGTTTACAATCTATTTGCCTCCATATTTCTAAGGCACTCCCTTAACACGCACACACATCATTGTTTCTTATATCATAAAACACTTACGATACACCTTGACAAAAATACAAAACTTTTTAAAAAATTTACTAAAATGGACATGAGGGCCAAAATGTTCCTTCTTGGGGCTGGCATGATGGTTTTCTGAAGTTCAGTTCTTAAGGAATCCAAATTAATGGATACTCTAAGGTCTACCACGTCAGCCAATAGATATTGGAAGGGTTCCCTCATCCTTCAAGTGGCGAGACTGACAGCACTTCAGAACTATCAAAGTCACTTGGACAGAGCTCTTGGAGCACGCGGCACTTCAGGACCCTGGGCTGATGCCACGTGGCTGTTTCCCCCTCTTTAGTTACAGGGTGGTTGGGAGGCCGGGTATGGCTTCTTCCATTGTCTCCCCTCTGCCCCCAGATACAGGAAGAAGAAATGGAAAAATTGAAAACAATGATCACACCCGCTTTTCCCTAACCCTGGATCTCTCCCACTCTGATCAACAATGTAAACATAATTAAAAATAAGAATTAAAAATTTACAAAAAGGAATTCAAATTAAGACAATAGAGAGTGTTTTTCCACAGTACTAAAACTCTCAGCAAGAAGTCAGAAGTCCCAGTGCTTTTATTCTGACATGTGAAGAGGTTTCAAAACTTCAGGGAAGGGTCAGTCTTATGGCACAGCACAACTGCTTCTAAGGCTAGCGTCCCATATCAAAACACCAGGTTAAGTAGCGGCTTTACCACTTCCAACCTAGCTCCATATTAATGTACCCAAAGAAAGCAGCAGATCACAGCTCGAGTACTGGGGCCCCTGGCACCCTTGGATGATACTCAGATGAAGTTCCCAGCTCCCCCTTTCAGCTTGGCCCAGCCATTTGAGAAATAATGCAGCAAGTGGAAGATCTCTCTGTTTGTTACTATCTTGCAAACAGATACGTCCGGGTTGTTTTTTCTTAAAAGTTCATGTAAATGGAATCAAAATATGTATCTATTAGTGACCTCAGTTGTGATGCAATGGGTTAACCCAGAGTTTGGGACAACCCCCATCCCATGTTGGAGTGCAAATGGAGTCCCAGTCTGGAACTCCGCTACTGCACCTCGGAAGCAGAAGATGATGGTTCAGGTACTTGAATTCCTGCCACACATGTGGATATTCAGATGAGATTCCAGGCTTCTGGCTTCAGCTTGATCCAGCTGTGTTGAGACCACTTAGAGAGTGAACCAGCAGGCAAAACACACTCTCTCTCACAACACACACAAACACACATACTTCTGACCTTTCAAATTAAATATTTAAATATAATAACACATTGTTACATGTTTAAAAGCCAAGCTTATTTTGGTGTCAAAATGTTGAAGCTCATGCACTTCCATGCCCTTTTGGAAGATTCTTCTCACACCATGAAATCAACTGTCTTGATGGTTTGAAATTAATATCTGGTGAGTTTGCTTCAAAGCAAACCTGAAACAGCGGGATTTCCTCAATTGTAAGACTCTAAAACCCACTGAAAAAATTATGTCAACAAGTCTCAGATCCTCCACCAGGCTATATTGGGAGGTTAAGGCAGTTATCCCAGGACTCCTCAAGCCTATAGGTTGCACATGTTGGCAAACTTGCAGGCATTGGAGAAGTCCACAGTAGAGTAAGACATTAAGGCATGGGTTCCTACACTGTCCACACAGGAGCAGCCAGGCACAGTTGACCCAAAAAGGAAGGGAAACAACGGCATCTGCCATAACAGCTGACAAAAGCCTTGGATGGTTTGTTAGTGCATTTGTAACTTGAATTTTATTCTAATATTCTAATAATTACTAATTTTCTCTTGTTGGATGGAGAAAGTGAATGGAACATAGTAGAGTGTATAATGCTTTAGATTTAACACATTAAATCTTGAGTTCAATTCTGTGAAATTTCTTTCTTTTTAAGATTTAATTAGTCTTATTGGAAAAGCAGATTTACAGAGAGAAGAAATACAAATAGAAAGATCTTCCATCTGCTGGTTCAACTCCCCAAAAGGCCACAATGCCCAGAGCTGAGCTGGTCTGAAGCCAGGAGCCAGGTGCTTCTTCTGGGTCTCCAACATGGGTGCAGGGTCTCAAGGCCTTGGGCTGTCCTTGACTGCTCTCCCAGATCACAAGCAGGAAGCTAGATGGAAAGTGGAGCATCCAGGATTTGAACCAGCACCCATATGGGATCTTAGTGCATGCATGGCGAGGACTTCAGCAACTAGACCAAGCACCCAGCCCAATTCTAATGACCTAATATTTATTTGTAGGTTAACTGTAAGTGTTCACTGACTGCCCCGTTTTGATGGGATAATACTGAGATTATACGGAGTAAATAGTAACTGTTTTCTTTCATCTTTCTTCTAAGTATCATCATTATAAACATATGATTTGGACATAAACTACCTACAGAATTAACAGCATATGAAGATCTGAAATCAAGACCAATGAGCATATGTTAAAGATTGTCCTGGCTAATGAACAACCACATTCTGTCTGTATTTGCAATGGTTACTCCTTCTTTAACCCATTTACTCAACATAAATTATTTGTTACTGAGAGACCCTACTTGTAGCATTGTTTTAAAAATCTGGGGATGCCATTCTTTAGGTGTGCCTGTCAATAGGGCCACGCAGCACTATTATTTTATTTTTTGTCCCTATTCAGTGCACAGACATGTATTAGCAGCTGATTTTTCTGCAGCACAACTGTGAGTGGTGTCATTTCCCTCCTCAAGAGTTTTATAATAGCTCTTTCTTCAACTCAACCTAATTAAACTAGAATTTGTTGCCTAGGGCATAATGCCCTGCATGGTTGGCCTCAAACTGATTTTTTTTCTACTCATCCCAAACATAGCCATTTTTCCCCCTTCCTCTCAGAATGTTCCCTTGGTTTGATAAATGAACAGATCAGGACATAACTGCAGTCCTAGCTAAACCAGTGGGTATCAAAGCCTGACAGAAATTCAACAGATGGAGAGCTTTCCTCTACCTGGGGTGCTTACAGCAATTTTTCTCAAACAGAAGAATAAGTTGGATAAATGCAAATTTTTGCCAGTATTTGCAAAATCCAGAAGCAACAGATACTTTCAAACTTTCTAAATCAAGTCTAATGCACATTTCAGTTCACAAGGCAAAACAATTGTTCCTCTTGTTACAGCAGAGAATGAACTTGTATGGAACATTTCTTCTCTCAGAGCACATAGTTATTCTATGACAACATTTATCTCCTAAGTAATTTGACCTGGGAGATTAGCTGTATATAGCGGAAGGATTTAACAGGTGGTCCATGCTTGCTTTCAAAGGTTCACAAGACATTCCCCCTTGCTCCATGATCAAAGGTTAGAATCCTGTAAAACTGCTGCAGCGACAGTAAAACATCTTGATTCTCCTGCACAGGACCTCATTTGGAAAAGCAGAGCTCCTAGGCATTTTGGAAAGGAATATGGTGAAAATCGCAAGCTTCATTTATTTTTAATAAGCTGATATCACATATTATTTTTGTCTGTCGGATCCAAACACGTTGAAAGATGTCAACTATAAAGATATCTTCTTTTCCCTCTTCTTATTTTGTTTGTTTTTATTTGAAAGACAAAGAGGATACAGTGATATTCAGAGAGATACAGATAGATAGAGAGGAGAGAGAGAAGAGGAGAGAGAAAGGAAAAGAGAAAAGCAGGCAATGAATTCTCCGTTTACTGACTCACTCCTTAAATGTCTGCAATTGCCAACGATGGGCCAGGCTGAAGCCAGAAGTCAGGAGCTCCATCAAGTTCTCTCACAAGGGT